GCCCATGTGCACCATTGGTTTGGGGTCCGGTTAAAGCGCCGGAAATTCGTTTTTGTCCTCTCATTCTCATAGACAACACTCCCGCCACGAGAAGGCAGTGAGTAGGAGTTCCCTGGCAGAGGCTGTATACGCGTGGCCATGTGAGAGCATTTGTGCATCCTGTGCAGATTGCCTTGATATAAGCTCAAATCAAACGCATTTTAAGGAAAGAGTGATCAATTTCAGTCCTTAGTATCAACGAGAAGATACAAGTAAAACAATACCAAGTGAATATAAGTCAAAGAACGTTCCCATAATTAGTTTCAGTTGTTTGTCATGGCTTTTTTGTTTCTCTATTCACATCAGCGAGTTTGATTTTTTTTAAATAATTCAACGACTATCTATCAAACTCGAATCCAGTATCGTTCGCTTCGAATGCCATCGTGTTATTCACTTAGCTACTGAGTCCTGATAGAAGGTACATGCAGGTACATCCAGCTGACGAGTCCCAAATAGAACTAAACGCACGTCCTGTATTACACTGCTAGCTACTATCCATCTTTGCTTAAAAAAAGCTTGTGACTTAAGGCCATTCAGAGACTGATCAATCGCAGTCTGAAATATCAATGGGAAGATTTATGTAAAACAACACCAACTGAATTTAATCTTCTAGAGTTACTGCCCGTCCCAAACCCAGGTAAAGGAGAAAGGTTGTGCATGGAGTCGGAAATCTCATCCTGTAGAAGTTAACTTTGTTTAAAAAATGCTAACCAGAATAAACAAATTAAATTACTTCAACTCGGGCCTGTAAATTCAAGGAAGAATGATGGCGCATCATGATGAAAGCCGAGATTCTTCGGAAGTCACGAGACTGATGAAATTTCTAACAACGTTTATAAAGAATTATTAAATAGATTTTTGGCATTGAGTTTGAAAAATTTATAATTTTTAGCTTGAGATCATGAGTCGATCAAAATTACATCATAATCAAAAATCTACAAGCACTAGACAGCTGTTTTGTTTTCGCTTAGGATTCCTCAGAAGTGAGCATCTACGATCTCGGACGCGGTAATCGAACCCAGGTCTTCCGATTTCTCTTGGGAACGCTTAACCTGTAGACCACTGACCAATATCCAGCAGTATCAATGTCTAACTTCCATCCATTAATAGGTACGCAACTATTCATCCATTGTCTGAGGTAGATACCTATCTCCACCCGACACCCATTGAAAAATAAACCGTCTCCAAAAATGCTCACAGAACCATGCTTACTAATGGGTGCTCTTCCATACTATTCCCGTTTTATTCCTTTTTTTTTCTTGTCGCGCTAATAGTTTATTCAATACTTTAGCATCCAATCCTTTTAAATGAGGTGAGGAAAGAGAGTCATACTAAAGTTTCTTCAAAGTGATGCTGTTTTTCTAATTTACTCTCTTAGTGTACATTATGTTCTTAATACTGATGCATTACCTGTGGGTATTGGTGAAGTTTTGGAGCGGGAAGATAGACCAGTTATCTGTGTTTCGTACAAACTTACTGTTGCTAAGCAAGGATATTCACAAACTCAGTGAGAAAGATGAGTTGTGTTATGGGCCATCAAAAGACTTAATAAATATTTATTCAGAAAGAAATTCACTATTGTTACTGATTGTGAAGCTTTAAAGTTCATTTATCACGTTCCTCAGCTGCTATGGTTTAACGATGGAGTATTGCTTCAAGTGTCTATGACTATATGGCTCGGTGCAGGAGTGTTAAATAAATTCAACATATTGACTATAATTCTCGACAATCATTACGTGATATACCTGTTAATACTTCACACTGTTTGTTAGAGCAAACTTTACCAATGAGACGTCCAGATCTCATTAGAGAAACTCGTTGATACTTTGATGCTATACGGAAAGGTTGGAATGCTAATCTGAAACATGGATTTCTTATCTATTTTTCAAATTGGGATGTGTTATCCACTACTCCTGATGGTATTTCGTGCTTAAATGATGATGTTGTTATTCCTAATTCATCACATAAATCTGTTCTTGAAGATCTTTATAATGGGCATTGAAGAAAATGAAGGCCTTAGCAAGGCTCACATATTGATGGTTGGAGATAAATGCAGATATATATTTCGTACAGTAAACAATTATAGGAAATGTCATACGTTAAAAACTCAACTTTCGAAGTAAACTTCATGGCCAGTATCATCTAAGGCCTGGCAGAGAATTCATTTAGACTATTATAGTCCATTACTTGGCAATTATTATGCACTTGTTGTCATTGATTTTTCGAAGTGGCCTGAAGTTTTTTTTACACAATTCCACCTCCAATTGGTGCTACATACTACTTATATCTGTTCACATACAAGGCGCGCATTACAATACCAGTTTATTATACACAGAATTGTACCATAGAAAGATTTAAACACTGATAATCATTATACTTTATACGCTAGTTTGCTTATATTTAAGTAGTATCAATGCTATCACTATATGGACTTATTTATAATGTCATAGATCATATTTACTTGAATGTTTAGGAATTCCTTGATGAGGAGTCACTGTACTACATCCAGCATGGAATATAATATAAAAAAATAAAATAGGAGATACATTTCAAACAACAATAAAGATTTGTCTAAGCTACTTTTCATGCTTATAATTGTTTGATTGATGTTATTTCGTTTTAATCCCAGTATATATTGGGTAGATCCACTCTACATGGTCGTTGTACATATCTAAATATCTACCTACTATTCAAAGTAATATAATTCCGCCTGGAGCCTCTCTGAGCCTACTACCGGTCCCAATCCCAGATAAAGGGGGAGAGTTAGGTATGAGGTTACCGACCCCACCCTGTAGAAAACTAACTCGCTAAAAAACACTTACCAAATCAGCCGAATTTGTAGGATATTCACAGTGTGTAAACTACTGTTCTTGTGATTGTGTAAAATCTTGTCCTATTTGTACAGTCTCCTATTGGTTTTTCTATTGAATAATCTACGTCTTTATATTGATCTTTTGATGTATTGCTTGAAGATTTGATGAATAATAGGAACCTTCAAATAATGAAGTACTTTATCATATCAAATCTTTCAGTTATTTTTTTCGTTTTATCAATAAGGACAGTCAGTATTTGACTGGGTCGTTTCAGGTTAAGAGAACTATGACAGTTGCTTAATCATCATTCAATTCATCTTATGATTACACTACCAATTCGAGATAACACTTACTAACTTCCTATTTACTACGTTCTTTCTATTATAATATTTATAAACGAAATATCACAGAGAAAAAAATACTAGATAAATCTAATCGTTATCTACTTATGTTACACACTTAGCTTCCAGCTACTCTACAACTACTCAATATTACCAAACAGCCTGAATGCTACATTGAAGTAGGACCCCCCCTCCGACTCTAATAGAAGTTCAAAAAACTATAGCTTTTCATTCATCTTGTTGTGCTAATGAGGTACGGCAATTTGGACCTATGCATTTATGTAGTTATTAAAAGTAGAAAATACTCGTAAATTACTAATATTTGATCACAGATGTTTTAGAAATATTGCTCGTATCTGCTGGGATCACAGGGTAACTAATAGCGAGGTTATACGCACAGTATTAGGGAATGATGGTAAATCAGTTGATGCGGTTGGAAATATGCCTCGACTGAGATGGTTGGGCCATGAGTTACGTATGCCTGAACACCCATTACCACGACGCGCAATGCTGATTAGTGTTGGGGATAGTTGGAAGAAAGTTAGGGGCGGCAAACTGGCCGAAACGTGACGTCAGTGCTTGAAGTCACTAACTTCTAGTCTTAGCCATGTTGGTAGATACAGACTACTTAGTCAGGATCCGTATGACTATGGTAACTAATGGTTGGAAACTGTGGGTGACATGACTCAGAATCGATCACAATGATGTAGGTGTGTACACTCTTTGTCTTCCTTTAACCTATGAGTTTAAAATCGCTTCATATCTTTCTTTCTACCAACTAATTCTTTCTTCCTGTACTATATTCTGATACACAAGCTTTCTTTCATACATTACCACCATTGAAGTGACTACTATGAATTCAACGTTGATTTTGTTGTGCTAATGAGGAATAGCAACTTCAACTGATGCATATAAGTGCCTGGTCCAAGATTCTAGCCAACCGACTGACTACTTAATATTAGTTTTCAAGGTGTCAATTGTTTTGTATAGAATTGCTCATAGTTTTTTATCTAGTAGACCTACCATACATCAATTGACAAGGTTTCTATGAAGTATGAAACAATAACTGAATGAGTAACATATCACTAACTGATTAGTAATAAAAATGGAAAGTGTCAAAGTTTGTTAACTGATTTTTGACTAGTATTTATTTGCTATCAAATAACTGTATGAATTTTTAACAACGGTTCAGTTTTGCGAAATGGATTAAACAACCTCAACCCTGACAAATCTTCTTTACCAAAGCTTACTATAGACAATAACCCTGAAATGACCGTATCTGAAGTTGATACACTATTAACGACGAGATATAAGACATAATTGGTGTTTCACTAGCTGAGATCATGAGTCAAGTGAAGCTAGACTACCATAGAAAACCTGCGGTCACTGGATGGCCGTTTCGTTCTAGTTCGGGACATTTCAGGATTGTGCATCCACGGCCCAGCCCCCCACGAGACTCGGACCCAGGACCTATCAGTCTCGCACACGGTCGCCTTACCACCAGATCACAGAGCCGGCTGGCATTCAACGATGTTAATGTCTAACTTCAACCAATCCACAAAGTTGCGCCATCGTACACCATTTTCTTCCGTCAATTGATATCTCACAACTGACCTGGTTGAACTTCACTGGTAATGGCTTCTCTTTAGAACTCCAGGAGTGTCTCTTCAAGTCAGTCATTAATGAGCAGTTGTGGAGATTGACTCATGATTTCAACTAGTGAAATTTCTAAAATCTCCACAAAAACCCCCTTCTAAACATAATATCGGTGTATTAAATTTGTCATTCGGTAAATACAACTTTGTTGTCAAGACTAATGAATTCATGTATACCAAGAAAAAACAAACAAATAGTTTACATAAAAGATCAATAAAGTACACAATAAAGTACATCAAAATACACCCTAATAGTATGACGTAATCATATTACAATTATTGCAAATGTATAATAGAAATGAAATCACACATTTTTGTATTTCAGCCCAATCATCATCATCATCATCATCATCATCATCCTCATCATCATCTTCATTCCCTTCATCATTAATTCCCGTCATAATCACATTTCAATTTGATTTGTTCAATATCCAATGATGTGATTAATACAAAAAAATATAATGTGATAATTTCAAATACATTTATAAAACCAATTAAATAAGGTGAATATTCTGTTGATTCATTATTTGAATTGAAATAATATGGAGTGAAAACAATTGCCTATAATAAATAAGAATTCAGTAGTTTATTAAAACAATGAAAAAAACAACAACTAAAGGAATGACTTATCTTTTGAAGGAAAATAAAAGAGAAATTAGTTTTGTTGATATTCTATTCATTATAGAAGAGTCACCTTTTTGAATTACTTACTTACTTACGCCTGTTACTCCTAATGGAGCATAGGCCGCCGACCAGCATTCTGCCCCCAAATGCCCTGGTACGGCCGAGAGTGGGGAGAGTCCACTCTCCCTCTCGAAATGCTCTCACATGGCCATGCGTATATAGCCTCTGCCAGGGAAGTCCTACTCACTGCCTTCTCGTGGCGGGGATGTTGTTTACAAAAATGAGAGGACGAAAAGCGAATGTCTGGCGCTTTAACCGGACCCCAAATCAATGGTGCACATGGGCTCCAGTATCCTGAAGGAACAAATGGCGTATGAACCAATCGTTGGTCACCGGCTATCATGGGACTGCATCTCCTCACGATGCTCCACTGCCTTGTGGGTCAGACGTTCAGGTCGAAGGCTAGGGGTGTGGCCCCCTAAGAAAACCACCTGCTTCGGTTTGGGCACCCGTGCAGTATCACAGCCCTCACACAAATCAATTGAGATTTGTGTGGCGCATATGTATTTTGGTGCCTCCCTGTACCTATATTTATGTGTTAAAATAAATAAATAAATAACCCACTCCGCACTGGGCATTCCTTCTTAGGGGCCTACACTCGGAGCCTTCGACCTAATGGTCTAATTCACAAGGCAATGGGACAACGTCAGGAGATGCAGTCTCATGATTGTCGGTGACCAACAATTGGTTCATACGTCATTCGTTCCTTCAAGATACTGGAGCCCATGTACACCATTGATTTTGAATCAGAGTTTTACAGCTCCCCAAGGTGGATACTTCATATCCACCAAACGCTGGACATTCACTTTTCGTCCTCTCAATTTCGTAATAATACCCCTCACCGCTAGAAGTCAGTAAGTAAGATTTCTCTGACAGTGACTGCATACTCGTGGCCATGTGAGGTCATTTCAAGAGAGAGCTGACTCTCTCCACTCTCGGCCATACTAGGGTATTAAATAGTATGATTGAATAGAAATATGTAAAAACATTCTATATTGAAGAAACATTTGATTGTTTAGAAATAAGTGATCAGATAATGTACTCTTTAACAACTAGACGTTACGGAGTTATATAAACTATTGAATTTAATTAGAAAGACGAATTCAACGAAGATTCTGGCACTGAAACTAACATATCAGTCTGTGAGAAAGACTTCTATTGTGTAACAGCATTGATTTTCATACTGAGTAGTCAAATAGGTAATCAAGTTTACATTTGTTCCATCATGCATTAATGATCAAATGAAAGGTGGAAGAGAAAGTAGATAAGAAACTTTATTGAATTTGTGTTTGTATGTAATATGTATTCTTTTGAGTGGTATCATGTGTGCACAATATACTTTCTAATCCGAAAGAAGAAGCTATTCGAATATTAATATTCTCCCTTTGTTAACATGCGACTTATCGCTTGTGAAAGCGATTACGAAAGAAAGACTGAAAGAAAATTATCTATAAGGTTTTCAGAAGGTTGTGTTAGAAAAGATATCAAGTAATAAGTAGTGCAACCATTAAACACTTAACAGATAGTGGACACAACGTAGAAATCACAAAGACGTTTTAAATACTAACAATCAACGAACACCATTTTTATATCACATTGCAAAACCTCTTACTATCAAACAATTACGACCTGATCCTTGTATACAGAAACTAAATAGTGATAAATCTCATATTGACATAGTAAGATGGTGAAAAAGTCCACTGATGTTCATTCACGAAGTTAGCTTTTGCATTCCTGTCAACTAGGTGTTGTGATTACCCCTTATCTACTAACGATTTATTTGTATTCATTGTCTCTTTAGTATCATTTCTAAATGCACCCTCTTTTCCTCTTTTTATAAGTTCATCTTCAACATATAAATACTAATCAATCTTAACTCTCATGTAAAATATGTTAGTTCTTCTTCTCGTCTCTTATATCATTTCCAACTACACTTTCAGTCAGTCAGCTACAGTGAAAAACCAGGCACATATCACAATTGATTGATCACTGGGTGGTGATCAATGTCATGTATGCCTATCCTTCTTAGCGCAGATCGAATGCTATCGACCAAGTTCCAATGTGGCCACTAGTCTAGGTAACTCAACATCGCGTGCACTGTGTTGAGATTAGATAATCGTTGGAATAATCAACAATAAACCCTGTACCCGAGTTTCGTGCTACCTGGAACTCGTCAGCAAGGTGCACCTTTCTTCTTGAGGGAACTGGAGCTACCTGGTGAACTCGATCCTGTGTTATCCAGCTCCACAGTCAGAGACGTTACACACATGACACTGATCACCACCCAGCGATCAATGAATTGTGATTACATCTCAATCTTACAGTAGGTTGGTCGCGACCCGGATAGCTCAGTGGTAACGTCTCTGACTGTGAAGCTGGGTGATATGGGATTGAATTCATCAGAAAGCACCAGTTCCCTCAAGATTAAAGGTACACCAAGTAGCACGAAACCCCTGTCCATGGTTTCCTGTTGACTACTTCCAACCACCACAAGGTACATATATGTAATGGTCCAAGTTGCCATATCTCATTAGCACAGCTATACGAACATCGAATTCATAGAAGTAATTAACTAAAGTATATAAATACAACTAATATGACTTTAATATCGTTTACAGATGTTGAACTCCCTTGAAATATGATGACTTGTTGCTATTCAACAACTTATTCTCTTCTTGATTTCTTTGAATTTATCAAGGAATCAAGATGTATTTTACTTTAATATTGATGAAATATATTACTCAATCAAACTTACAAGTAGAATTAAACCAATCCCACATATATGGTATACAATTTCAAAAATACACTAAAATAATAGAATAAATAAGAAACAATGGTTATTTATAAACAAAGAGAATTATTGAACCTTTTAATACTTTAATAATCTACAATAATTCACATAAGATATATGTTATATCTAAAGCTTAGATTCTTAATATACCACGTACCAGTTGAGTACTTGAATGCTAGAATTCTTCAAGTCGAAAATAAGAAAACAGAATAAGACAAGTGAAAGGAATGCTATTTCAAACGTTGACAAATATGATACAAAACTATTGTGATGTGTGTGCTACTTATGTAGACATAAGTAGTATATGACGTGAGTACTGAACAGAATGTCTGGCAGCAGAGAGACGAGAAGATCGAACAATAAAGAATGAAGAAAGAATGCGATTTGTAGGAAAATGCAAGAACAAAGGAATTCTGAGTTATTCGAGACAATTCATGAACAATTTGCAAATTGATCATTTCATATATGGTTGTTGTATTTTACGTTCGATTGTCCCTCAATGGTGTATTGTTCACTACACTATCGGCTATTCATAGTCTTTTCTTAGCATCAACGAGGTCGTCATTATAGTCATCCAATCCGTATACACGGGTTTTGGCATTTGTCCAAAACGGACATTGAGATTCTGGAATGTTCCTAGGCTCTTTCAGAACTTCTTAAAGGTTCCTTGAGATCACCCGTGAACCTTCCTCACAATGTGTAAACATTTAATTCACTATAGTCCCAAAGTGCTCCAGGTGGATCCGTTGGTCAGACACTATCAGCCACAACCTATTGTGGAAGAGAACAAACCAGATTCCAAAGGAGGAAGAAATCAGGAAGAAGCACTGGAAGTAAGTAGGACAAATATTTAGGAAAACACCCAACTACATCACAAGGTAAGCCCTCAAATAGAATCCTCAAGGACAAAGCAAAAGTGTAAGATCAAAGAACACATTACTCCAGGAAATGGAGACATATATGAGAAGAATGAACAAGAATTGAATTGAACTAGTTAGGAAGGTTCAGGACAGAGTGGGTTGGAGAATTGTGGTCGGAGGCCTACGCTTCATTGAGAGTAACAAGCACAAGTACGAGTTGGACTTTGTATTTCGATAAATAAAACATTAAAATGAAATGAATCTTAGAAACGTATTTACCGCATTAGTTTCTATTGATGTAAACTTATCCGCCTTGTGGTCAATTCATCATAATCTTAACAGAATTGAGAACACTTCAGTCGTATTTCTATCGGAAATCTTCTATATGAATGTTTTGTTTCCATTATTATGGTTGAGAAACTTAGCTCATAGTCCGTTTAACTTAAGTGATTTGACTGTCGTGATAGTACAGCATTTGATGTATGTCAACTGTTAGTCAAGTATCGTTAGATTTTTAACGACTTTTATAAGACAATAATCGTGATAATGAAGTATTCATCAATAAAGTCAAAAGTTCGTACTTTACTATTGTTTTCAAAAATACAATTAGTCACCACGTATCACTGTGAAATGAAGCTGAAATAAAACGTTTCTAGAATTTTGAGATGGTGGAGAAGATTTATAGCTCAGGTGAATGATTTTGATGAAGTTTTATTCTCTGAGCTGGATGATTCATTTATGAAGCTTTCATCATTCTTCTGAACAACATCATCAGCATAAACTTGAGGTAGAAATGAAGTATTCAAATTTCTTCACATATGGTTCACAACTTGTCCTGTACACCTCGATGTTGATTGGTTGTTGTTGACCAATGGAAGATACAACCAAAACGTAGAAGTGAACAATTACAAGTTTAAAGTGAACAAGAACCAATCAAGATCGAGGACATTAGGACAAGTTGTGTCACATGTAAAGAAATTCGAATACTTCACTTCTACCTGAAGTTTGTACTGATAATCTCATTCAAAAGAACGATGAAAGCTCCACGATCAAACCATCCAACTCAGAGTTTCCAGGATTATTATTAATCATTGTGTGGATAGTGAATATACTATTAACACTAGCATTCATACTACTAGATATTCCAATCTCACATATCATTGATTAAAGAAACAATTGAAATATCCTTTAAAATGAATACAATCAATATTAACTTACATAGAAATAAGATAATACAATAGAAAGAAATCCTATAACTAGTAATCCACATATTATGATAAATAAGATCATCTTCCATCTTTTTTGAAATGATGTTATTCTCATACTGAATAAGATAGTAATTATACCCAATACAAATGCCACAATTGCATCCATTACAACGTATTTAAATTCAAAAAAGCCACAAAATAAAGTAACACCAAATGATAATAGATTTGCCTAAAATCAATTATATAAGATATATAGTTAATAAGAAAATAATATATTGATATAAATAGCCTTAGTGAGTAAGATGATTGATGCCATTCAGTGCTTCCAATGTTTTCCATGTGGGTCTAGCTTCAGTTGACTGATGATATGAACTATTGAAATATGTATATATCTAATATATGTTCATGTCATATATATTTGTTGGGGTATTCAGAAAATGCCCCAGAAATTATCTAATGCTATGCCTGAATGAGAAATGGTGTCATTTTCCCTTTGGTCAATATTTATTTGTGTCATTTCCTGAAGGTTAAATCTTGTACAAATGTTACTTTCTATTTTATCGTACGATGTAGTCTGTTTGATTACTATATAAACAGAGTATGTTTGAAATATAATGATTCATATCACCGAGGCTGAGACTTGTATTCTGGACTCAACTGGCTGGGCTAGACAGGGAAGCAGGACCAATCAGAACTCTAGGCTGTTCTTACGTGTTTACGCATCTTTGGTTGATCGCTAATTCGTTCTCTCCCTCTCTCTCCAATATAACGATATACTTGTTAACTGAAGTTCCTATTCATCCAACATAGAGAACTATACATGTTATAATATAAAATGAGAAGAAAATCTATACTTCATTAGAATTAGAAGTAACCAACATGATCTTGATCGGAAGTCATATTTAAATTCACTTGGTGTTGTTTTTTTACTTGTATCTTCCTATTGTTATTTAAGACTACAATTGATCAGTCTCATGTTGGCATATATACATCCTGTGAGGATTGTCATGATATAGCCTTAAGTCGCAAGCTTTTTAGGCGAAGATGGATAATCAGACTCGAACCCAATTCTGTTTGCTTCAAACTTCATCGCGTTATCCACTTAGCTACTGAGTCCTGATAGCCATCTGCTTGTGCAATGGGTTGAAGTTTAAATTCACTTGGTGTTGTATTTTTTTTACTTGTATCTTTCCATTGTTATTTAGGACTATAATTGATCAGTCTCATGTTGGCATATGTACATCCTGTGCGGATTGTCTCGATATAGCTTTAAGTCATATTTTATCGTATGATAAAATCTATTAGAAACTGCAATATACAAAAATCAATTAGTGGATTGATTATACCCAACATAATTCTATCAGTGAAAACTTTACACTGATTGATTGTTACGAATTCAATCGATCACACTGAATAGGATATTCGTTTTATAAAATATAAATAATGATCATAGGAATTATGGTTAGTTTTAATTAGAGTTGGATGATGTTGACTAACAATGGAATTAAAGAAGCACATTTCATTCTATTTGAAATTAATCATCTGGATATATCTACATCCGTGTTAATATTCCCAATGGGACTCGAACTCAGTACTGTTCGTTACACTTTCACGACTTAACTAATAAATTTAAATAACCGCTACTTTATGAAACGCGATGAATTTCATTTCATTTTCGCTGAAAATCCAAATGAACTAATGGTAATACTGAGGTTAAACGTATAAGATCTATATGTACCAAAAGAAAATGATCGGTAAGACTATAATTTATGAATTACAATTAAGCGACCTTTATGAGTGTCCACCTAATAACCAGGACCAAATGAGGGTTATAAACTAGTGTAATGAATTAGAATTATGATTTACAATTGATGATTAAGGTTAGCAATTAGAGTTAAAGTTTTCATCACCAACTGATATCAACTATAATGCTAGAACTCTATTTATTCGAACGAATGAATGAATTTCGCGCCAAAATCCGACACCTGTTATCTCAAATCTGATTGGTTCGTTTATAAATTATAGTTTCACTAAATGACCAATTACAATTCATAATATCAATGAGATGATTTAAATAACCAATCAAATTGAAAGAAGAAATTGAATTAACAATTAATCATTATTCTTATTTGTTTGTAAACTAACTGTTATACCAGCGATGATAGTGTCGATCAATGTTGGACGATGTAATTTTCTAATCATGAATATAATCAATCCCAAAATGAAACCAACAATTCTAGAATATTAAATAACCAAATAAAACAAAAGTGAATTGGATATTGTTTTATTCTATAAAATAAATCAATAATACAGTAATATATTACACATTATATCATTTGATTTCCAAATTCACTTGGTATTGTTTTTGCTTGTATCTTCTCGTTGAGGTTTAAGACTGTAATTGATCATTCTGTTATTGGCATAAGTGAATACTGTACGTATGCCTCAATATTGCCTTAATTCACAAGCTTTTATAAGCAAAGATAGATAATGGATAGCAGTGAAATCCAGGACGTGTGTTTTGTTCTATTTGGGACTCGTCAGCTGTATGTATCTACATCTCCAGGTTGATGTTCACTCTGGGACTCAAAGCCAGTAACATTCGCTTCAAACGCCATCGTGTTATCCACTCAAATAGGACGAAACGCGCGTGAAACTGGATTCCACTGCTAGCCACTATCCATGTTTCCTTATTTAATTTCCAGGTTACAAAAGTATTCTGTTTTTTTTGGAAAAAGATTACAATAATGATCCCTTACATCTTTAAAAATCCCTTAAATCTTTATAACTTTTCAGAAAGATCTATTTATTTATTTATTTATTTATTTGGACGGATAAATATTGGTATAGATAGGCACCGAATACATACACGCCACACGATTTACTTGATTTGTGTGTGAGTTGTTATACTGCCCGGGTTCTCAAACAGAAGCAGGTGGTTAGCTTAGTGGGTTACACCCGGAGCCTTCGACCGAAAGATCTGATTCACAAGACAGTGGGGCAACGTAAAGAGATTCAGTCTCATGGCAATCGGTGACCAACGATTGATTCATACGTCATTCGTTCCTTCTGGATACTGGAGCCCATGTGCACCATAGATAAGGAATTAGGGTTTTCCAACTCCCCTAGGTGGACTCTCCGTTTCCACCAATCCGGTTAAAGCACCGGAAAACACCCCGGCCACAAGATAGCAATAAATAGGATTTCCGTGGCAGTGACTGTATATGTGTGGCCATGTGAGAGTATTTGAAGACGGATAGCTGAATCTCCACACTCTCGGCCATACCAGGGCATTAGGATGCCTTTTTACAGGAGATCCTGGATCTAGGTTACGTGCTACTGGGCACTCGTTATCAAGATGTACCTATAATCTTAAGGGAACTGATGCTCCCTGACGGATTCGATCCCATGTCATCCACTATGCTATCCGAGCCGCTCACTTATCTAAGAATTGATTGGTCACTTAATACATTAAGTATTTAAATATGTAATAAATGAGATGTTTGTATCCAAGGAAGAAAACAACCAAAAATGTAACTACATACTATTGTTTATCTGATAAATTAATTATTTTTTTTAAATGTTTATTGAGCGTTTTTAACAAGATTAGTATACTGTGAATCTGGTTTCTATTCAAGAGATACTATAAAGATAGTGTTATATTGGAGAGAGAGACGTGCGATTTGAGGAGAGAGGATTATCGATCGGAACAAAGACGCGTGAACACGTGAGAACAGCCTAGAGTTCTGATTGGTCCTGCTTCCCTGTCTAGCCCAGCCAGTTGAGTCCAGAATACAAGTCTCAGCCTCGGTGATATGAATCATTATATTTCAAACATACTCTGTTTATATACCAAACAAACAGACTACATCGTACGATAAAATAGAAAGTAACATTTGTACAAGATTTGACCTCCAGGAAATGACACAAATAAATATTGACCAAAGGGAAAATGACACCATTTCTCATTCAGGCATAGCATTAGATAATTTCTGGAGTATTTTTCTGAATATCCCAACAGATAAAACTGAGGAAAACTAGATTACTGTTTTATCCAAGATGATGCTCTATGTTGAAATACATTGAATAATCTAAATATTAAATATTAGGCATGAGACCTTATGATCTTCAACTCAATTTATGGTATGGTGAATACTGTTAAAGAATCCCATAATACATATACAACTCTTCATTCTTTGCATAATAAAGGTCGGCCTTAATAATTTTCGTCTACTAATTGCTTATAAATATAACGAAATATCATTTGGTAAAATTTGAAATTACTCCAATTCTATGGGCAAAAACAAACCCAAATTCCAGTTAAAGAGGAAATTATGAAATCACGATGGAGATGGAATAGACATACATTACGAAAATCATCAAACTGTATCACGAAACAAGTCGTAATTCGGAAACTTGATGGAAAACGGAAGAACACATTGAGTCTGAAATAGGGGGCAGGCATGAAAAGAATGAATATCAACTGAAGACAATTCGGGAGGATCGTCTGGGTCAGAGTTGAAAAGTGAATGCTGGTGGACAGTCTATGTTCCTCCACGATGTGTAACAGGCGTAAGTAAATAAGTATAAAATTACTAAACATGGATTTCGTATAAAAAAAAATGAATCGAAGTCTGGAAAATTACATATCATTGTTTAAATTTCAATAGCTTATTACATATTTCATATGAACAACGGATTTATGTTCATCAAATAATGCCTTGGTTTGTTTTTTATAGAAATCACTTGGTATTGTTTGCTTTTATCTTCCAATTGCTGCTTAGTTATTATTGGCATATGTACATCCTGTGCAGCTTGCCTTATGTAACAAGCTTCATAAGCAAAGATGAATAGTGGCTAGTAGTGGAATCCAATTTGACATGCGTTTCTTCCTATTTGGGGCCTGTCAGCTGAATGTATCTACATCCGAGAGTTGAGTCCCGAAGTGAATACTAACTCTGAGATGCAGATGCATGCAAAACTGACGAGTATTAAATGGGACGAAACGCCCGTCCAGGATTCCACTGATAGCTACCATCTATCTTTGCTTATAATGTTCTAATTTTTAGATCATCATACATAACTGAATAATAATAATGATAATACTCACATCAATATGAATGCTCCTTTAAATTGTAATCTTGATTGACATTTAATAAATTCACTGTAAAATAAAATATGATGTTATAGAACATGATTGTAATACTTGATAATTGAACACTTTATGTACATTTTTTGTTAATATAGTTGACGTAAGTAAATCTGAAATAAAGTGAATGAATGTTACTAAATCTCTTTAATAATAAAAGTTTAAGATAAGAATATCACAATTTTGACTTACTTCACTAAGCTATTACAATAGCTTCCTTCATCGATCAAGTTTTTAGAATAAATATTGATCAGTGGAGTTCAATTGGGTCTGTTATGAGATAATAACTCATTGCCGACAAATGTTTTGATACAGCTAAGAGAGGAGAGAGTCAGCACTGCCTATCAAAATGTTCTCATATGGCCACGTGCATACAATCACTACCAGGGAAGTTCTACTCACTGACTTCTCGTGGAATTAATGTTGTCTACGAAATTCAGAGGACAAAAAAAAAGAATGTCCGGCGCTTCAACCATGTTGGTGGTTATGGAGAGTCTACGTAGGAGAGTTGAAAAATCCTGATTCCAAACCAGTGGTGTGCATGGACTGGCTCCAGGATTGTAAGGGAACAAATGATGTATGAACCTATTGTTGATCACCGGTTACCATGAGAATGCATCTCCTTATGTTGCTCCATTTCCTTGTGGATTAGACCTTTAGGTCAAAGGCTTTGGGTGTGGTGTACTAAGAAAATCACCTGTTTCGGTTTGGGCAACGAGGCAGTATTGTAGCCCTCACACAAATCGTACGATTTATGTGGCGTATATCTATTTGGTACCTTATTGTACCAATGTTTATGTGTTTAAATATAATAATAATAATAATAATAATAATAATAATAATAATAACTCATTGAAGACAATGGTGGATGTGTCACTCAAGTTAGAAATTAATATCGTGGGATGCCGGCCAGCTCACTGGTCTAGAGGTTAAGCGTACGTGTACGAAACCGATAAGTCCTGGGTTCGAATCTCATGAGGTATGATCATGGATTTCCTTGTTGAGAAGTTCCACAATAGAACGAAACGGTCATTTAGTGCTTTCACGTCTTCCATGGTGGTCTAACTTCAATTAATTCATGATCTGAACTACTGAAATTACTATAATATCCACAAAAACAACCCTTTTGATTTCAAACATTAACTGACTATATGTGAATTTACATAAATAGAATTTCAATGTTTTATACTTCACATATATAAAATAAAGAGATAGATCGTTATGTCTATGAAATGTTTAGTTAATTTATATTCAGTGCTGAATCCTCAAAGTCGACGACTTGTAAGGACAACAAAAAAAAACTGATAAAATGGATTTACTTGACTATGGAAATAAATCAAAGTGCTATAGGGATACATTCATATTATTGATTTTACTTACAATTGATGATTAGTTAACAATTACCACACATAAGGAAACTATATGAAGAACATCTGGATTTCGAAACAAATCTCTGTCAACTACCAACACCAAAGTTAGAATTTTCAATACAAATGTCAAGATAATTCTATTGTATGGGGCGGAAACTTGTAGAACTACGAAAGCCATCATCCAGAAGATACAAGTGTTTATTGAAAGTTATCTACGAGAAATATTTCGGATCCGTTGGCTAAACACTAATAAACAACAACCTACTGTGTGAGAAAATAAACCAGATTTCATCGGAGGAAGAAATCAGTACGGTGAAGCGCTTGAAGTGGATAAGACACAAATTGAAGAAATCATCAAATTACGTTACAAGGCAATCATTCATCTAGAATCTTCAAGGCCAAAAACGAAGAAGAAGAAGAAGATCAAAGAACACATTACTCCGAGAAATGAATACAGACATGAAAAAAATGCCCCTGGATACAGTGAGTTGGAGAATGTTGGTCGACAACATTTACTCCCCTGAGAGTAACAGCTGTAAGTAAGTAATCCTATTATATTAATAAAAACCATAGTTAAATCAAAAAAGAAAAAAAAAAGAAAAAAGAAACTTTCATAATATTCTACAGTATACTATTAACTATTACAAACCTTCTGTTCACTAATCCCAGTATAATTGAATATCTAATACATGAATAGAACTAAATCAACTATTTATATTTTGATACTTATAGTTTATTCTATATTGACTAATTCATTATTGTCTTGTATAACCTTTAGCCTCGTTTAAAGTTAATCCATTTCAATGTTTATAATAAACAATCATTGTATCAATGCGTTGATGTTATGTCATGTTATTATTAACTAAATATATTTGTACTTTAATATATCGATACATTTCGGCGGTAAGTTCAAAGAGTTGATGATAAACATGTTATAACGTGTGATCCGCCTATTAGAGAGCAGCCTATTATCGATCGAAACAGTGACGCATAAAATACGTGCGAGCAGCCTAGAGTTCTGATCGGCCCTGCTTCCCTGTCTAGCCTAGCCAATTGAGTCCAGAACACAAGTCTCAGCCTCGGAGATATGAATCGTTATATTTCAAACATACACTGTTTATATACCAAACAAACAGACTACATCGTACCATAAAATAGAAAGTAACATTTGTACAAGATTTAACCTTCAGGAAATGACACAAATAAATATTGACCAATAAGGAGATGACACGTTGGAAGAATATTGACCAATGGGAAAATGACACTACTTCTCATTCAGGAATAGCATTAGATAATTTCTGGGGTATTTTCTGAATACCCCAACAAAACATTGAATAGAAAAATGTTGTGAAAATTTAATATAAAGTTTCATGAATTATAGATTTTCATATAAAAACTTACTTGTAGAAATTGATTAAAGAATTGATTTTAAAATTATTTACTTCCTTAATTCTGTTATTCCTAGTGGAGTAGTATAGGATGCCCACTACCAATTTCCATCCAACTCTGTCCTGGGTAATCTTGTACAGTTGTTATTCATTCTTTTCATATTTGCTTTCAATTTCCAATGTCATGTGTTGTTTGGTATTCCTCTTTTTTCTGATTCCCTTCAGGATTCTAAGTTGGCGCTTGCATCGTGATGCCAGTTTGATGATTACCTCAATGTATGTTCTATCCATTTCTATCGTCTTTTCCTAATTTCCTCTTCAGATGGAAGCTGGTTCGATCTCTCTCACAGAAGGCTGTTGATGATGGTATTCGGTCAATGGATGTTGAGTATCTTGCATAGACAACTATTTATAATTACCTGTACCTTCATGATGATGGTCGTGGTAGTTCACCGAGTTTCAGTTCCGTACAGAAGAACTACCTAGACATTCGTATTGAAGATTGTGACTTTGATATTGGTTGAAAGTTGTTTAGAGTTCCATATGTTATTCAATTGTAGGAATGAGGCTTTTGCTTTGACAATCCTCGCCTTTACGTCTGCATATGATCCTCCTTGTTCATCGATGATGCTTCCTAGGTACATGAAGGATTCCACATCTTCCAGAGCTTCACCATCAAATGTGATTAGGTTGGTGTATTTGACAATCTTGCCTTTTCCGTTGTATATCTTCAGGCTTACTGCTGGAGAGCCTGCTACTACACTAGTTATCTTCATCTGCATTTGTTCGTGTGTATGGGATAGAAGAGCCAAGTCATCTCCAAAGTTCCACTTTTTTAACTGATTCTGAACAGTATTCATAAAATCCATTTAAAGGAATAATAGATTAATAGAAATATACTTCACATGCATAATTTACTAAACAAAAAGAATCGAACCTGACATTATACATTGATTTAGTGTAATACTATAATGATATATATGTGTAGTATTCATTTGTATTGATACAGTGTAAAATTCACATTCCCTCTACTTCTACTGTGTATTTTTTGTCGAATACTCATCGGAAGCACTGGAAGTAAATAAGAAACACATTGTGGAAAACACTCAACTACATCACAAGGTAAGCCCTCAACTGGAATCCACAAGGCCAAAGGAAAAGAGGAAGACTAAAGAACGCATTACTTTGAGAAATAGAAACAGATATGAGAAAAATGAACAAAAGTTGGACAGAATTGACAAGAAAGGTCCAGGACAGAGTGGATTGGAGAATTCTGGTCCGCGGCCTATGCTCCATAGGGTGTAACAGGCGTAAGTAAGTAAATAAGTAATAAAATACTGTATTTAGTTGAAGACTTTCATCATGGTCTTAAGTAGTGAATAAACCTCTCTATCCACAATCAGTTTTCATCTTTTTTTTCTTGTATCATATAAATCTTCATTGATACTATTTCAAGTTGATTTTGGGCAATGGCAATTTTAAGTTGAATGATCTTTGAGTAACAGTATCTTTATTCTACTGATAATCACTTTAAGATTGAAATGACTTTTGTTGGTAAGTAGTACTACTCATAAATTAAATGGCATCTCTTCAAACTCTCCTACCTTTTATAAGCTTAGATAGATGGTGATTGTCGGTGGAATCTTGAACACTTATCAGTTGGATATACTTACATCCCTGAGTTAATGTTCACTCTGGGATTCAAATGTAATAACGTTCACTTCAAACGACATAACGTTATCAATTACAGTCTTAAACAACTATGGAAAGATTCTCTAAGTGTAATCGATAAACTAATCAATCAATAATATTACTAATTGCCTAATACTTTGATTTGCTTTGATCTTGATGTGACTATGATCTGTTCAATTTGACCGGTTATACAATTAACTCAATTTATGTATTCACTGATTACTGTTCTGTTGTGTTATTTTAGTCCCTCCTTGTCCCTTTCAATAGATTACATTACAGGTGGTGCCAGTTTCTATATTAGAAACAAATTTGTTGCCAAGCCAAATAACTTACTTGGTTTCAACGAACAAAAAGTTGACAGCATAGGGACTAATTTAAAATTTCATCTGTAAGAAGTTAAATGACATAAAGTTTTGAGAGGTAGTTTATTCTTATTAGGTAACCAACATATTGACTAATAAAAAGACTAACAAAAAGTATTATAATTCTAATGAGATTCCAGAACTGTCATCTATTTATTCAGAAGACTATAAAAGAGATTAACTTGAAAAAGATTGACTTAAAACCAACTCTCTTACAGAGTTATAGTAGGTTACTTGACGTGTAATAATGTTAAACACAAGAAATCCAACTAGGAAAATTACATTATAGAGGAACAGAAAGTATTGATCAGTCATTATGTAAAAAAAAAGACAATTCGATGTTCAATGGTACATTCATAAATTAATGGAGTCTTATTAATTTCAAAAGATGCATCGGACAATGAGGGTTATTAGTTGTTAGAGCTAAGCTTAATTATTTGATCCGCTATTACAACAAGCAGACAAAAGAAGATTTCAACCAGTGAAATTTCTAAAATCTCCACACAATCCCTTCTGATAATAATAATCATCTGCTCACTAGTGACTGACTTCAAGAGATACTCCTGAAGTTCTAGTGAGAAGCCGTGACCAGTGGAGTTCAACCAGGTCTGTTGTGAGATATCAGCTCACTGAAGACAATGGTGTACGGTGGCGCAACTTCGTGGATTGTTTGAAGTTAGACATTAACACCGTTGGATGCCAGCCGGCTCAGTGGTCTAGTTGGTTAAGCGCCTGGCGCGAGACTGATAGGTCCTGGGTTCGAGTCTCGCGAGGAGCAGGACCGTGGGTGCGCACTGCTGAGGACTCCCATACTAGGACGAAACGGCCGTCCAGTGCTTCCAGGTTTTCCATGGTTGTCTAGCTTCAATGGATTCATGATTTCAACCAGTGAAAAGAAGATACGTATAAAAAATGTTATAAGAATATGAAAGAAGGTCGAAATATTCTGTAATGTGATCTTATTGAATTCATAAATGACCAATAAGACATAGTTAATACCATTGATTGATAAGTGGGTAATGACCAATATCGTGTATTTCAGGTCCTCTCTAGTGAATGAATGAATTCAATCGATCTAGTGCTAATGTGACTTCTCATCTAAGTAACTCGATATCGCGTGTACTATGTTGAGATGAGGTGGTTGTGGTTGATTGCTGAAGTAAACCTCAATAGCATGAAATTTATTTCCAAGGCTTCCTGTGGACTATTCCCTTTCACAAACACATAACTAATACTGGATGGCGGCTACTTGTCAATGGAATTAGTATGCTGGATATTACATGTGCTGACAGATATAAATAGTATGTAGCATCAATCGTAAGTGGAATGTCTACCAATAGAAGTTAAATTGAGGAAAACAGGAAGGGAAACTGTGAACAAATTGTAATTACAACATAAGTGAAAGAATAATGGAGCATGTAAAGGACAACTGAAGGAAGACGTGCAAATAATATATTTAATGCATGGTTTTCATAATTTACCAAGATATCGATAGTAATAGTGCTGCACATTACAGATCTCGCCATATAGGTTTATCATGTTTGGTGTGCTTGGGAAACCATTTTCATGATCGATAACAGAAATTTCAAATGAAGAACTTGTACGAAGGGAAGAATATGTTCGTGAGCATAAAGTCCATTTATCAGAATTAATGTACTACCATTCAATGAAATAATAACACACAGCATGGAATAATTTTTTATGATCACTGGTAATCAATTTAAATGAATTATTATTGCTGGACTCCTCCTGGAGTCCTTCCGGGGGCTACTGCCGGTCCCAAGCCCGGATAAAGGAGGAGGGTTGGGCAGTGGGTTAGCGACCCCATCCTGTAGAAAAATAACTCGCTAAAAAAACGCTAACCAGAAAATTAAGTAAGTATTGGTTATAGAAACAGTTTGTTTTGGGCAATAGTTTATCACTTACTTGTGTGTGAATGTAAAAAACATTACATAAAGAACGCTGACCAGATTATTTGAACAAGGTGGAGTGTTAGACGGCTACTATTAATGGAAAGTAAATGGTTGTATTTCATGAATTTATCCTATAGCAACTATCCTACAACCAATTTCTATTATGGTTGAGCCCTTCTACTTAACTTACATAACAGACAATATGATTTGAATAGTATCAATTCGCATATCTCTTTGTACTATTATGATCACTAGAGCATATGCAAGACACTAGTTAAGGTGTTGATCGCTTAAATATCCTTCGATGATTCATTCTCCTCCCTATGTATATATGTACCTAAATCCTATTATTAGCCTTTGCTTTGCC